TGAACGTTAAGATTGAATTCTAACTTTCACGCCGTCCTTCCATGACTGGATCTCTGATAATTTAAGTTTATCGGCATAAACCCTTCACAATTAATCCAGGACCGAATATGGGTGTACTTTTACCCACATAATAACCATTATTCTATCACTTGGTTATTTGTTGTATATATACAAGAGAGCGAAAATTTTTCTTCATCTTTGGCAAGCTATGGTAAATCACCATATTCATGTAACTCGCATTTTCTCACTATAACTAGAGGGAGAAGCTACACAGCAACAATGTTTTTTTTTGATCTTTTTTCCTAATTGTGGAGTGACTATTGGCAATCTCGTGTTATTTTGTATGACTAAAACACAGACCTACACATCATAATTGGATACATTCGATATTTCTCCATGTTTTTCTGTCATGATGATCTTAGAACTTCCACAGAATCAAATATCGTGTTCATCATTTCATCATGAGTTCGATTTCTAATTCACTTACAAGATAATTAATTGAACCGAACTCATGTTCGGGGTCCTTTTGCATCATCTTAACTGGCTTTTGTAGAAGATATTCTACCTTCCTGGAACAAAGAAAACTGGTGAAATATCTCCATTCCTTTCACTTTTGCCTTGCTCGTTCTGGGTTGATGCTGTGTTTTCCATTCTCACTCCGATATTTCGGCTTCGACATTTCTCGATAGCCGAAAACTCGGCTCCTCTTTTTTATTGCCTTATAGGCAACGATTTCATTTCTCGCCATTCATGCTTTGGTCCTTTGTCCTGGTTCTTTTTGCTCTCCTGTGCGCTTGTGATGGTCTCCACACACTTTTTGCTTTCTCCAATCCTCTCTTGGTGGTTGCACTTTGTCTCCCTTTCTCATTTCGCAAGACCATCTTACATCTCGCAAAGGTTTCCGAAATCCCTCCTCTTTTTTAGTAAAGAGAGCTTTCTGCATCATCCTCTCAAAGCTACCTTTAGACATTTTTTCGTCTAAAGTCTCTTCATTGGACAAGATATTCTCTAACTTCGTCTAAGGTTGTGTTGTGTAGCCCAACCACGAGTAGCAGTACAAGACCCCTTAAATTCAGGTCCTTAGACCATGGATGATGATCCTTCCTCATCTTGTCTCGTTGATCTCGTTGTCTGGATCCTAAATTTCGAAATCTCCTCGCATAAAGATTTTAACTTTTTTAGAAAAGTATTGACTTAGCAAGCTTGCAGGTTATAGTTGAAGAGGATTGAGAAACAACTCATTTTCGAGCCGTTGCCAGGTTTTGCTTCATTCCTTCTATCGGCGAAAGCAGACTTGAGCGATGTCCCGCACGCTTCCTTTGGTGTTTTAGCCGAACTTGATTCGTTTGCAATTGCTTCATCTTCTGACTCTGCAACCGTCAGCACAATACATCGCCTTCCCCAAGCATTTGTCCTTCCACTCGCGCTTTCACCAAAGCTTTTGCATCCCAACTGGTGTGTAGTATTATCTCCTCCGACGACCGACGATATCCCATAAGTCTTGACCTATGAGATAATATCTCATACGGGTACTCCAGTTCCCGTAATTGTTGCTATTTAGCTTCTCAATGCTATTAGTAACTCCAGAGAAATCCACCATAAGGTACTGGTGTTCCTGACACTAACCAATGCACAACGGTCCTTGACCAATCACAATCACAATCCTTACTTGTGAATTTGGTTGCTTCAACAACAGTCCCCGACTGTTAATTCCAGCAGAGTAACAATACCCTGCACTTGTAAATGAACACCACCAAATACCATGGCTACAACAACTACCACCACAACCAGGCTCTGATACACAAATCTTACCAACACACAACCACCGCGTCTGATATCAAACTTGTTGGGATAGGGTGAGCTCTGATATCACTTGTTAGGGATTCAATGCTCCTGAATACCACGTGATTAGATATCAGCTCTGATACGCTCGACATATATCGGTTCAGGGTGTTTGATAATTGATATGTGTAGTGATAAACTCGCAAGGATTGATTAATAATACTTATAACCAAGAATAACATAACGTGAAGCGGGGAAAGTAGCTCAAACCAAAAAATATATTACTAACACAAAACACAATATAATTAATTATTAGATATATGATAAGAAAACAATATCACAGTTTAAAGGAAGATTACTTATTTTGGTTTTTTGCTTGGTGCTTGCTTGTTTTTGTACAAAGTGAGGTGAGGGGTGGTGGGTATTCTATAGGCATTATCCCACCTCCTCAATGTAAGGCGGCTAAAAAAGTATTTGTCTAATGGCGAAAAATGGCACCGGTTTCAGATTTACATGGAGAATTCTAAGAACTAAATGTTGACATTATAAAATATAGCAAATATCTTTTTTGGGTGGAGTAATATGGAGATATGTGACTAGGGGCTTGGACCTCCAACTTTTGAGGCTTAATGGCTATCGGCCAGTCTTGTTGCATAATAATTATAGGGCAAGCCCTAATATTTTGATGGTGACTAAAAATTTAATCAGGTGATAGATTTTTAATCACTAATGAGTTCAAATGAATTTGTTGAGGTGGCCTGAGAAATAAATAATTCCCTAATCCATCACTTACCTTACCGTTCTTGTTCAAAATTGTTAGATGATTGACTATTGAAGATACTTTTTGTGCATGCTTTATCAATCTACTACCTTTTCCATTTTGCGTGGAATTTTGGACCTCCAACTTTGGGCTTAAGGCTTCCCAAGTCTTGGCTTATTATAGCAGCCCATTTTGATGGTGACTAAATTAATCGGTGATATTTTAATCAACTAATGAGTCAGATGAGTTGAGGTGCTGAGAAATAAATAATCCCTTATCCATACTTCCTTCGTTCTTGTTCAATTGTTGTGATTGACTATTGAGATACTTGTGCATGCTATCCTCTACCTTTTCCATGCGTGAATTTAAACGTTTCAACCTTCTTCCCATTTTATACGCGAAAATTGGATCATTTAGCGAGAAGCAGTGTCCATCTTTCTTATATTCCTCTCTGATGATGCAATCTGTTAAAATGTCATCAGCATCATAAGCCAAATCTCTCAACTGAGACAAAGCTACCTCTAGAACTTGTTTCTTTTCCTTGAGCTTATCCATATCAGCAAAGAAACCATTGACAATTTTAAGCTTATCCTTCAAGTTCTGGAGGTCAGATTTGAAGTCAATTGCATATTGAGCTTGATTTTTGATCGCTTCAGTAAGTTCATCTGCTAGTGTTTCAAGAATCACAGTTGCCACTGCTTCCTTATTCTTTACTTGTTTGGGCAGCACCTGTAAAGTTCACCAATTTACCAAAAGAATGTAACTCAACTGCCCATAGGCTTGGGACTAAAATGAATAATCTGTTAATTTCTTTACATCAACGGTAATATTAATCAAACAATAATATTCTAAAAATTATATTACATGTCCTTTTATATATATATATATATATATATAACTATCGGTGTTGATTAAGAAGAAGGGTTTGAAAAAGAAAAAGAAGGTGGTCGTCTGTATAGTGGACGAAGAGCAAGTATCGGGTGGAAAGAGAAGAAAAAGAAAAAGAGAAGAGGGAAAGTAGAAGAATAGAAGGGGATGTAGCTTTGGACATTCGTTTGGTTGTTTTTGTTTGGGATTAGTGAGATTACTGTTTTAGGTTCTGAATTATGGCCATCTTTGAAGTTCTCAAATTAGCTTACTCACAAGGTTACACCAAGGTTCAGGTAGAAAATGATAATTTGTTAGTTGTAAGTACTAAATATCATTAATGGTGTCCTGTTGCTGTTTGGCTTTTGTTTTGTTAATTTGATAGTTCTTTTCCTTGAATTAGTCCATTCATATTTCTCATATTTTTGTAGAAGCTAATTGGTGGCAATGACGTGCTCTATAAGTGCATAGTGGTACAAATAGTATAGAAAAATTATCGCCTTCATAAAAAATAAATTGTTGATTATTAAATTATTATGATTTGAATTATCTAAAATTCTAAAGAGAGCTAAGAATAAACTAAACAATTAACATAAAAATAGAAATAAACAACTAACAAAATATAAGACTAATATAATCTAAAGGCCTAGTGTTGAGAGTTATATCAGCGTTAGCTTAATATAGTTATTCACGATCTTCCTAAATTAACAATATTTAATATCTTAAAGAAGGTTAGCCTAACATGTCCAAGTCCTTTTTCTAAAGCCAAATGAGTGTTAGAATCAAATGATATCTACTTTTACAGTATTAAGTTGATTGAAATCCAATGAACAGGTGTCAACCCTTTTGCTCTTAAAGATGAGCTATCTATACGATGAATTAAACATCGTATAGATATATATGCACTATATATATACACTTAATAGCTAAATTAATTATTTACATGTAAAAAATTATTCCCTTCATCTCAAATATTTCTCAAACAATTTAGGTATACCTAGTTAAATTAGTTTGGATATAAATTTTTTTTCTTATTTTTTCGTGTGTATAATAATAATAATAATAATTCCTTGAAATAGGAGCAGCTTGCTATGCTTCATATCAAACTTTGACGCTCAAGAAATTACGTTGGCCATCAACAATGCAGGTTTGAATTATTCATATCAAGCTTCATATCTAAAATAAATATTGTAGACAAGCGAACATTGGGTTACTTCTGAACATTGGGTTTTCTATGAATTAAAATAAATAAAAATATAGATAGACTAGTAAATAGTAGCAGTATCACAAAATAGGCCATCTAATCAAACCATTACATTCTTTTACAAGGTTGCAATACATATAAAACTGTCCAAAAACATAACAAGAATACAATAAAACAGAAAAAAAAAAAAAAAAAAAAAAATATCTCACAAAAATTGGGCCATCTAAATCAAACACCATTCATTCTTTTACAAGGTGGGTGCAATACATATAAAAACTGTCCAAAAAAAGCGAGGTAAAGAAATACAGGGATAAAAGCAGAAAAAGAAAAAAAAAAAAAAATAAAAGACAGTACACCACTAATAATAAATCGATAGAGTCCAAAAAAAAAAAAAAAAAAAAAAAAACACCACCATAATAATAAATGAAAATAGAGTCCAAAATTAAATTCCAAGTGTGAAATTAAACATCAGTCATATCCTTAACGGTTTTTTCACCCTGAAGCACGCTCACTACATCTGATATTGGGGGTCGTTTAGAAGGCCAATCGGTGCACAGCATTGCCAACTCAACGATGGTAATGGCTTGATAAAGCATTGCTGATGATACTCTCCCTGGTGGACGCTCTTTCAATGTTTCATCAATTAATTGTTCGTACGTTTTTTGCTTGCGACACATGTCGGCCTACATTTAAACAGTTTTGCGAGTGAGTTTAAGGCCCTGTTCGGCCTTTGAGCAGATTGGACCAAATTAAAATTCTATTTCTATTAATTGTACTGTTTAATAATAGCTATTATAATAGGTTTTAAACATTGGATGAGCTATATCAATTGGTTTAAAACTCCTTGGTTTTTTCTCCAAAAGTCAGCTAATTAAATACTTAATATCTGTTTTTGTCAATTTAAATTAAACATTTAATTAAACCACTGTTTTTATCGAACACTTTTAATTTAAACCATTATATAAAAAGTTAACATGTAATAGTTAACAGCTAACAGCTCATAGAACACCTAACGGCTAATAAAACAATTAACTGATACTATAACATCTAACCTAAGGATCTTTTCGATAAAATTAGCTGTTTTGATAATTGTTAGATGTCTTTTCATAAAATTTTAAAAAGTAAACGTTACATGGATTAACTTTCTTTTTATAAAATGGTACCTTAATATCTAAAAGTTAATTCAAACGCTATGTTACCGAATACTGCAAATAATAGCGTTTATTGTTTCGACTAATCAAAACACTAAAAGCTATCTAAAAATTTATTGTTGACGCTATGTTTTTTTTATCGGCAAATAAATTTCTTAATTTTATTAGAAAAGAGAAAACCGGGAAAAAGTTTAACTAATTCAAGAATCCAACCCAAGCCAATAGACTTCTCTAATACACCCAAACTAAGACCTTACTCTATCTAAAAATCTGTTGCAAACAGTGCCTAAGTGTCATCGTTCAAGTATGTTCACCTTATATTCTTAATTTTAAAGTTAGAGAAAGAGAACAAACCGAGGGAAACAAGTTTAAATCTTAATTTTATTAGAAAAGAGAAAACCGGGAAAAAGTTTAACTAATTCAAGAATCCAACCCAAGCCAATAGACTTCTCTAATACACCCAAACTAAGACCTTACTCTATCTAAAAATCTGTTGCAAACAGTGCCTAAGTGTCATCGTTCAAGTATGTTCACCTTATAAAAGAACTAATTAAATAAATAAAGAAAAATAAATATGCATTCATTACCTTTTCCAAAAGATAAATACTATTGCCAGGATCTCCAAGGTTTTCATCAATCTTTTTCCCACTAATGATTTCAAGTAGCAGAAGGCCAAAGCTATACACATCAACTTTCACTGTTATGTTATTGTGAGATACATACTCAGGTGCCATGTACTTCCTGCATGTAACATCAACAAATTATCCCTTTTTTTTTGTTGTTGTCTATAAAGCAATAGTGAAGAAATTTTTGTTGTTTCAGTACTTACAGTGTACTTCCGGGATCTTTAGTGAACATAAATGGATCATCTTCCTCATAAAGCTTTGCCAATCCAAAGTCTGAGATTTTAGCATTATAATCTCTATCAAGCAGAATATTACTGGCCTTGATATTTCTATGGATTATTTCTATGGATTACGGCCGGCTCCCTTTTATGTAAAAACTCCAAACCTAGGGCTATTTGTTCACAAATTTTGTATCTTTTTTCCCAACTAAGTTGTGCCGAACAATTAGCATCTGCATATAAATACTTAATAAGTTATAAAATGGATATAAGATCAGTGAGCTCCTGGGATAAAAGAAAATAACGTACCAAATAAGACTTCCTCAAGGGATCCGTTTTCCATATATTCATAAATTAGCAAATGCAAGCCTCTTTTTGAATAAGAACCCAGTAATTTAACAAGATTTTCCATATATTCATAAATTAGCAAATGCAAGCCTCTTTTTGAATAAGAACCCAGTAATTTAACAAGATTCTGATCTCCTAAATTAGACAATGCAAAAACTTCTGCTCTTATTTCAGCAGCTGCCTTTGATTTTGGAAAAAGCTTCTTCACTGCTACTGTCAAATTTGGCAGTATAGCCTGCAAACAGAGCAGTGGAAGGAGAAAAACATAATGAACTATAATTAACGCCAAGAAAATAACAAGATAAAAGATTTCAACCTTGTAGACTATTCCAAAACGACCATCCTTGCCAATCTTTGTTTTTGGGCTGAATTTTTGAGTGGCATTAATTATTTCTTTAACACTGTAAGCCTGTTCTTCCGAAAGGTTTATACGTGTTTCTGTGTTCCAATTTCAAACATCAAATCAAAGAAGTTACAGTGTATGTGTGTGTGTTTATAAATATTATTAGGGGATGGATGCTCTTACTGTGCAACTCTCTGTCTCCTATCCATCCCATTCTCCACAGGAAAGCTAACAAAAGGAACAGAAAAAGGACGCAAGCTGCCGCAATTGCAACTATTTCCCAAGCTTTTAATTTTCTTGGAGCTTCAAAACCCAAAATGCAGTAGTCATTATGAAGTGAAAAAAATTAAAATGTTCGATCACACACTGAAGCAATAAAATGTTCAACATTATACCACGCGTTATGGAAATAGCTGAAACGAGAGGTCCATTATCATCTAGAGATCCCCTACCAGCCCAGAAGAAGTCTATCTGCAATGGTTCGTGGTCAGGTATTATAGCCGTGAAACTTTTCATAATGGTCTTATACTTAGCTCCTTCAGCCTCTTTCTGTATGTTGAAATCCTGTAATACTTTCTTTCCCTGTAATTAAAATCAAGAACTCAAAAATTAGTTTCAATCGTCACAAGAGCATTATAACAAGTTCTAACCAATAAAAAGAATCCCCTTTAGAAACAATTAGGCAAATTACCTGAATATGTACCTCAAAAATGCGTTTCTTCAGAATACTATAATCTTCCTTTTTGGAAAATGAAGTTTCAGCAAAAAAAAGTTTGATATTGTATTTGCCTTTACGCAAGCAGAAGGCATAATAGGTAAGGAAGATAGGAGCAACACGAGCATTGACGTATAGGTCTCCCTCAGGAACGGAAACTCCACATGTTAAGTTCTCTCTGGTGGTTGGAGTGATGGCGCCTCCAGAAACGCTATAAGCCCAATTTCCATCAGGACTTTCATAAAAGTTTGATATTGCAGTATCATTTTCATAACTTTGCTTGTCAAAATCCACGTGGTCACCACCACAGTTTATTGACAGGGAGTGAGCTGCAACAAACATTTATTAGTAATCTCTATATTTAAAAGTTTTTATTTAGAGTCTATTTAGCAAAATTAGCTGTTTTAATAGCTATTGGCTATTTTAGTAACATTTAACTGTTTGAGTAACTTTGGTAAGAGCAAAAGCTACGGCAACTTTGGTAAGAGCAAAAGCTACTGCGTTTAGTGTTTCATCAGCTATTTAAAACTGTCTATTTTAGTAACGTTTAACTGTTTGAGTAACTTTGGTAAGAGCAAAAGCTACGGCAACTTTGGTAAGAGCAAAAGCTACTGCGTTTAGTGTTTCATCAGCTATTTAAAACTGTCTATTTTAGTAACGTTTAACTGTTTGAGTAACTTTGGTAAGAGCTGCTGCATATACGAGGCGCTGATGCTAGATTGGGGCGCGCGTTTTTCAAAATTTATCAGCTATTATATTCAGTTATGGCATAATGACGATACAGCATTCTATAATTTTATGGGATACGATGGATAATATTTATTGGAATCATATATTTAATTGGTTTTTATTTTCTAATTTTCATATTTTGGGACTATTTTATCATAGCCGCTAGTGGTGAGAATATTTTCTTAATACATGAAAAAAATAGGCCTACACATTAAAATTTATATTTAGATTGTTGGAATGGTAAAACTTAGCTCTTTTAGGAACATTTTATTCCCTTTCTGATTATATGTAACTCTCTGCAATAGAATGTAACTTTGGTAAGAGCAAAAGCTACGGCAACTTTGGTAAGAGCAAAAGCTACTGCGTTTAGTGTTTCATCAGCTATTTAAAACTGTCTATTTTAGTAACGTTTAACTGTTTGAGTAACTTTGGTAAGAGCAAAAGCTACGGCGTTTAGCGTTTCATCAGCTATTTACAGTTATGGATCGAACACAATCTTAATCATTTATTTATTACTATTATTTTTTTATTTCTACAAGCAGTTAAATATTTTCTTAATACATGAAAAAAATACCCACTAAATTTTATAAGTTGTGGATGGTAAACTTACTCTTTTTAGGACATTTTTTCCCTTTCTGATATATGTACTCTCTGAAAGATAAATAAACATGTAAATTGTAATTAATAAACATATAATTCAAGATTCATTACATAAAATTAAAGATGTAAAAGCAAGCATACCTCGTTGGCTCACTGAATATCCATCAACAATATGCAAGTAGTAAGCAAAAAAGCAAGGTGAGTTTTGAAACAATTTACAATGCTTTCAAACAACAGATAATGTGAAATATGTTTCCAATATATCTCTTACATGATAATCGTATTTGACGAAGATTGAAGCATTCCATTTTCATGCTTTGGCATATTTGTGAAATCATTGTATGAAACATCGCTGCAAGACAAAATGGAATTATTTGCTAACTCCACACATAAATATATATAAAGATCAAATTACTGTGTTAATTTTTATTTCAATGCATTATACACTTCGACCTATAAAAATGCACGTATTAAACACTTTAATTTTATTTATTGAATAGCTCAACTTATAAAATTAGATCGATTAAATATTTTATTAAATAATTAAAAAATGTAAAAATTATTATTCCATTGATTATATTAACCACGTATCAAATTAGTATTTACATATAAAAAAAAACCATAAAATTACTGTTGCTAGTGTGAGAGGGTATTTAATCATTATAAAAAGTGAAATTGAGATGAACCCTATTTTAAAATTCAAAATGTCACAATATTTATTTATCAAAGTCAAGAATTACATCATATATTCCCCAATGAACAAAGACAATTAATTGGACATGAATGTGGCTAAGAACACCTTAATGCCGATTCATACCGAGACATGCTATCGAGTATATTCTTGAATAGCCCAAATTCAATAAATTAAGATTCAGCTGTGCGTGTGTGTATATATATATATGTTTTTATGTACTTACAGTTCAAGTATTCCATAAGATTGCTTAATGATCCACTGAGGAAATTTCCCATTAAACTTATTTCTTGATAAAAATCTAACATAAAAGAAAAAAAAATTGAACCCATTAGACATATTTCAACTTTGAATATTATTGTAATGAAAAAAAAAAGAATAATATGATAATTACTATATAAATTGTGTATAGTAATTTAATTATTATCTATCATATGGAATTTATATACACAATGTAAATTATTCATTTGCATGATTGATTGTGATTAAACAATATTAGGAGAGAAAATATCTCACATTTTCACATGCTTCGTTCCTGTACCAAACTCTTGGATCTCACCAGTTAAGTTGTTGAAACTCAAATCACTGCAAGAAGGAAACATCAAACATTAATTAAATAAAACTTGCTTTCACTAAAATTAAAATTAGAAATAATAGACGGTTACGTTTTTTTACATAAAGCCTCTCTCTTTCACATGCTTCGGTTCCTGTACCAAACGTCTTGGATCTCACCAGTTACGTGTATAGAAACTCCAAATCACTGCAGAAGGAAAACATCAAACATTAATTAAATAAACTTGCTTTCACTAATTAAAATTAGAATAATAGAACGGATTACGTTTTTTTAACCACACATAAAGCCTCTCTCTTGAAAACACTCTTAAAGCCTCTCTTTTTTTTGTTTTTTTTTTTCTCTCTCATGAACGGCCTCAAACGACTTGTCTAATGTTCACTGGTTCCCATTTTGTTTTTCCTTTTATTTCTTTTTTTTTTTTCCTGTATAATCCATGGTATTCTGTCCCTTTGACATAGGATCTTGGTTATTATTGCCTAATATGTTAGATATGATTTATTGCTAATTATCTTGGATTTTTGCTTCTTAATCAGATTTGGTTTTTTTATAACTGGTTTCATGTAGATTATCCAATTTGTACTCACATCCGTCTTACGTTATGGTGATTTTTACTTATAAATTTTGTATATTAAGATAGTATACTAGGGCAAAATCGTTGCACAAAAATTCCTTTCTAATAGAATGAAGAAATTTTTTTTTTTTTTTTTTCTTTCATGAACGGCCAACGACCAGTTCTCACTGGTCCAGTTTTCCTTTTATTTCTTTTTTTTCCTGAATAATCCTGGTATTCTGTCCTTTGACATAGATCTTGGTTATTATTGCCTATATGTTAAGATGATTATTGCTAATATCTTGGGATTTTGCTCTTAAATCAGATTGTTTTTTTACTGTTTCTGATTTATCATTGTCACCGTTATGGTGATTTTACTTATAAAATTTTGTTATCTAGATAGTTATGCAAAAAAATGTGCAAATCCTTTCTAATAGAATGAAGAAATTTAATAGAAATAAAAATTCATTTTGCCCTATCAACTCAATTGGAGATTTCAAATCGAGATTGGTTTTTTTTAATTCTTTGATTTGTTATTTTCAATAGAAATTTTGTCTATTTTTCATATCTGTAGAAAATGGATTCTACTAGTTGAACATGGGAAAATAGTACAGTTAGGAATTTAAAGAATAGATTAAAAATTGTAGGGAAAGAAGTTACAGTTAAATAGCAGTTACAATTCTGTCATTTTTAGACCATTTAGCAATATATTATTTCCTTAACTAAATAAAAAATTTGGATTCCCTAATAAAACAAGAACACTGATTAGAATAATACTTACAGATGCGTCAATTCAGGCCATTTAGCAATATAAGAAGGAATTGTGCCATTGATTGAGCAATTCCTCAGCACCCTGCATGTATAGATCTCCTTGATGAGCTATTTGTATTTTGCATTTTTATAAACTTTTGAATTTTTAAATATTTCATAAATTTAATTATTTAGTCATTCGCATTTAGTATAATATTACTATTTACTCCCACTTTTTTACTACTCTATCCATTTAAAAAAGATAGTTCACTTTCTATTTTCACATACATTAAGAAGAAAATGACAATTTTATTCTATAACTTTCCTATTATACTTATCTTAAACAACACATGAGCAATTATTATATTGGAATGATAAGTAAGAATTAATGAGGGTTATTGAAAATAAGATAAAATTTAACGAGGGTATAATAGATAATTTAAGAATTAACTATAATGTAAAAAAAAAAAAGAAAAGTAGACTATATGTTGGGACAAACTAAAAAGGAAAGGTGAAAATCTTTTTGGGACAGAGTCAGTATTACATTATTGTTTAATTCTTCACTTAACGATAAAAATAACATTCCTTGAAAAAAAAAAAAAAAGTTGACCATGTCATTCACGAATTTTAGACCAATTGTAACAAAATGCAAAATTTAATATGTTTTTAATACATTGGGACAATATATGTAGACAGAAATACTCACAAAGAATATATGTTCGTCATCAAGTCCGCTTGTCTGGGGAAAGTAAAACCAGGATTCGTTAAGCCACTAACCCACCTGAAATCATTGAACCACTTCTTAGAAAGCTTTAACTAGAAAACGACAGCGCTTCAACTGTTACTTGAAATGAAATTAGAAAAATAATTGTCATTTAACTGCACATACAATTCCTCAAGATGCGGAAGCTTGAAAATCCCTTCTGGTAGATTCCCTTCAAAATTATTTCCCAGAAGATACCTGACAAGTTTGTAATGGTACAAACAACATTCTAATTCTTTAATTTTTAGTTTTAATAGTAAAATTACAAAAAAAAATAAACATATTATTTCCTAAAATTTTAAAGAACTTTTATTTGTATTTAATGGTCAACAATTACATATTATAACATTCTAATTCTTTAATTTTTAGTTTTAAAATAGTAAAATTACAGAAAAAAAAATAAACATATTATTATCCTAAAATTGATTCCCTTCAAAATTATTTCCCAGAAGATACCTGACAAGTTTGTAATGGTACAAACAACATTCTAATTCTTTAATTTTTAGTTTTAATAGTAAAATTACAAAAAAAAATAAACATATTATTTCCTAAAATTTTAAAGAACTTTTATTTGTATCAAAATAAATTCTTAAGAAATCTTACAGAAAAGTCAGGTACTTCCAGTTTGCAATGTAATCGTGTATAGGGCCAGACAAATAATTTCCAGCTACAGCACTGCATTGCATTGATCAATTTGGGAACTTGAAATATATTTACAAATTCACATCAAGAAATTCCTTAAAAATACAAAATTTCTTTTTGAATTCTGACTTTAAAAAATAAAATAAAGAAAGTAATAAACAATTATTTATGCGATTTATTGCATAAAAAACCAAATAATAATGATAGGAATGACTTACAAGCTTTGAAGTCCAGTCAGCTGGGAATAACTTTGTGGAATTTTACCAGTAAGATTGTTGGAATTCAAGCCGCTGCAATCATAAAGTTTTAGTTAAAGAGTAGCTATAATACATTAAAAAAGTAATTTGTAAATTCAGTGGATAATATCTCTGTTTCATAATAATTGTCACATTTAGAATTTCACGTATTTTAAGAAAATCATTAAATTTGTCTAAATTACAATAAATTATTAAGTAAATTAACTATATTACCCTTAATTTAATACTAAATATCTAAAAAACCATTAAATTAAAGTAATAATTATTATTCATATACAAAGAAAGGGTAAATATAAAAAAAATATTTATTACCCTTTGAAACCTACAGATATGACAAGTATCATGAAACTGAGTTAGTAATCAATTTGACTAATTTAATAATTAAAAAGCCTATAGCAAATTCCTATATTAAAAAATTACCTCTTACAGTTTCGTTTTTAATAACATTTAGAATTAGTTAATAAGAAGAAAAATATACCTTTTCATAATAAAAAAAAAAGACGAAAAATAAATAAAATTAAATGAAACTTACAAACTTGTAATATTGTTCAATTTTCCAAGTGCTTCAGGAAGTGGACCCGTGAGTTCATTGTCATGTGGACCCGTGAGTTCATTGTCATGCGCAGACCTGTTTTTTTTATTATTATTATTATTATTTTTTTTAGTATACAGCATATAGTCTATAACATATAAATAAATTCATACATAAGGATATATAAATAAATAAATTAAATTAAATTAAATGACTTCATACAGAAAATCAAGTTGAGTGAGGTTCCCCAGTTCATCAGGAATTGGGCCGGATAACATGTTACTGTCAAGATTCCTGTAAAGCCACAATGTTTATATTATTGAAATTGTAAGTACGTAATATTACCCGTTCATCCTAAATATAAATCGTTTTTGGGTAATTATTTTGTTTCAAAGTATAAGTTGTTTTGAGCATTTTTAACGAGTAATAAATGATGAATTTCTAATATTACTCATATTTACATTATATACAATAATCACCGTTACTCATTTACTCTTGATTTGAGATAAATGATAATATGATCAAATTATCTTTGATTTAGTTATAATTTAGGAGAATTAATTATTTTTTTAATTTTCATGCAAAAAAACCTTAAATGACTTACAATGTCTCCAGCGATAAGAGGTTACCAAATGATTTAGGTATGGATTGATTCAGGAAGTTGAACTCCAAATACCTGTTGCATGGAGTTTTTCAACAGCAGTTATAAGCTCAAATTCATTTGATGTACTGAAATAATTCTATAGGCAATAAGGGAAGTACTCACATTTGAATCAAATTTTGCAGATTGCCCAATCCAGTCATTGGACCATTCAAGAAATTGAGTGAAAGATCCCTAATTGCACAAAACTGAACTTAATATATATAATCACACAATTAAAATAAAATCAGAGACGTTACGTAATTGATTAACTTACAAATACTTAAGTGAATTTAAAGCTTGAAAGCTGCTGGGAATAGTACCTTCAAGCTGATTGTTCGCTAGATTGCTGATCAAATAGAATCACAAATGGCATATTTGGTTGTTTCAGTAGTAAAGTAATACTGAATGTATTTTGTTGAAGACAATTAAACTATTCGTGTCAAGATTAAAGAATTTGCAAGTTGATTATACTTACAGGTATGTCAAACTAGTTAAATTTCCCATGCTTTGTGGTAGGGATCCAGTCAGCTGATTGGAGGAAAGATACCTGAATTTTAATCAAACAATAGAGAATAGTGTCATACTGTTTGCTATATTTACGAAAAGAAATGAGATGGGAGTTTACAGAATTTTCAAGTGTTGAAGCTCACTTATTGCATAATCCATATTTGGTTGTTTCAGTAGTAAACTAATACTGAATGTATTTTGTTGAAGACAATTAAACTATTTATGTCAAGATTAAAGAATCTGCAAGTTGATTATACTTACAGGTCTGTCAAACTAGTTAAATTTCCCATGCTTTGTGGTAGAGATCCAGTCAACTGATTGGAGGAAAGATCCCTGAATTTTAATCAAACAATAGAGAATTAGTGTCATACTGTTTGCTATATTTATAAAAAGAGATGAGATGGGAGCAGAATTTGCAAGTGTTGAAGCCCACTTATTGCATCATCCATATTTGGTTGTTTCAACTGAATGTATTTTGTTGAAGACAATTAAACTATTCATGTCAAGATTAAAGAATTTGCAAGTTGATTATACTTACAGGTCTGTCAAACTAGTTAAATATCCCATGCTTAGTGGTAGGGATCCAGTCAGCTGATTGGAGGGTCAGCTGATGGAGAAAGATCCCTGAATTTTAATCAAACATAGAGAATAGTGTCATGCCTATTGTGCCTATATTTCATAAAAAGAGATAAGATTGAGTTTGACAGGAATTTGCAATGTTGAAGCACCTTATGATCATTATTAAACACTCACAAGTGTTGAAGCCCACTTATTGCATCATTTATATAACCACTCAGCGAGCTACTCCTTTTATTTCTGTCGCCAAAATGAAATATGAAAGTATAATGTCATCATTCAACATATGCAAAGATATTTTATTTCGGTGAAAGCTATAATTATTACTGAAATATGAAAATATGGATATGTACAAAGATATTTCATTTTGGCTAGACTATAATTATTACTAAAATGTGAAAGTATAGAGTCGTTGAATCCTCGCAAAGTTCAGGAGGCACAAGAATAATTTACCAAAATTCTAGATCAAGTTCATCATTAGGCGACATACATACATACATTTCGGTTATATGGCAAGTGAAATTGCCATCCTTGTCCTTGAAACTGCAATTACACCTTATTTCAGCACCAGCCACCAGGTTGCTGCTATTTTGACAGTGTGAATCACTGAATTTTGTGACGCCTAAACCGCTTAAGACAATTGTAAGAGCATCCACTGTCAAATGTTACAAAAAAATTTACATCAAACCCACGAAAAGTCAAACAGTGATTTCATATTCTTCAATTTGAACAGAAAGGAGGAAACAAAAAAAGATTAGCATTGATTCTTGAAAGAAAAGAGAGTTAAATGTGGGTATGGAAGCTTACACTCGTCACAAGGCAGATTTTGGTTTCTGTCACAAGGCAGAGTTTGGTTTCTAGCAATATAAGGTTTATCAGCTCCATGAACAAGTTGCCATTGAAGAAGGAAAGTAAGAATGGGAATAAGTAAAGCCCTCACTGAAAGTTTACTACACATTGTTTCTTCTTTGGATGGCTCTTTCTGTTACTCCTAAATTTATACAGCCTCAAAGTGTCAATGGCAAGTCCTCTTTGGTCCCCGTATATGCTAAAAGAAAGAAACTTTGATCCTTATCAACCAAAAAGAAAGGAACTTTCATCCTTATCAACCAAATAGACTCCGGTAGGGGGTAAAAAAAAAAAAAACAAAAGCAAACTAAGTCAAGGTCAAGTTTTATTATCTTTTAATTTTTTAAAATATTTAACTATCAATAAAAATGGAATACGTAAATTTATCTTTATTACTTTAATTTTAAAGCAATTTTAACTTTTATTTTTATCTTTTAAATATTTTAATTTATAAAATTATATTTATTAAACACTTATTACGTAACTAAATATTATAAAAATTGTTATTCTAAAAATTATGTTAACTATATATCAAATTAATATTTTTGTATGTAAAATATCTAACTTTAAAAATTATTGTTATTACTATGAAAATATATGCAATGTTCTCAAAATTTATAACTTTAAATATGTAATAGATTATCCACAAAGTTGAGTGTCCTGTTAGTTGCCATAAATTAAAAAAAAAAAACAACGATTGAATGATGTGGAACATATATATTATAGATATATAATATATAATATTATAATAATATATATTTATATATATATATATAATATATATAGTGCGCCATGTGCGCCCTGTAATATAATTATCTCTTTACATTATTGTCCTTCTTTTAGTCTTAAATTAATATATATTTCTCATTTATTTCTTCGTACACATCATCCTTCATTCAGTACGCATTTACTCGAAGCATGATGACACCCTCAAACTCAACTTAGTAAATTCTCGAAGCAATATATAAAAATAATAAATTAAATTGTTTTTAAAAGAAATAAATTATTATATTTCATTATATTTGTTACATTTAAAATTTTATGTTCCTTAAAAAATTATTAAATTTATTTAAGTTGTAATAAATTATTAAGTAAATTAATTTTATTATCTTTAATTTTAATTTTTCAAAAAAATTCAAAAATTAAAGTAATAATTATTGGTCATATACAAAAGGTAAACATGAAAAAAAAATTTATTATTCCTTAAAACTACAAATGTAACAAGTATTTTAAAATAAACTATTTTTTCAAATGTGAAGAGTATTATCGAACGGAAATAGTAATTATTAATTTAATCTAAAGAATATATTATGCAATAAAAGTGAAATAACATAATTTCTAAATAATGTAGAGTGTAAAAATCAAATAAAGATACAAAATTTATCTTTTACAATGACTTCAAAATGGAAAAAAAAAAAAAAGAAACTTTTATTTAAAAACGCAATGAACAATAGAAAGACAAATTCAGAACATAAAAAATATAAAAACTTAAAATGATAAATAGAATATGAATCATATAGAAAGAGTTCTTTTAAGCTTTTATACAAAATAAAAAAGATAGAAAATTAGTATTTGATAGCATATATGCTTTTCAATGTAAGTTTAAATTGCATTATTTGAAAACTAACTAACAATATTATGTAATAATTTTATTTATAATAATTTAGAAATAATAAACAACTATATATTATTATACAAAATTAATTAATATTTTTATTTATATAACATATAAAATAATAAATAATATATATATATCCAACTGAAAAATATAATGCATTATATATTAATTAATTTTGGCTATTATTTAGGGAACAATTTTTTTTTTTCCTTTAATCTATTCCCGAGTTAGTATAAATGATGTATTAGAAATATTACTAATAAAAAGAAAAAAAAAATAAAGAAACGGAAAGACCAAAGCATCGTGCCTTTCATTTTCCAACAACAAGCTCTAAATTAAGGCCACGATGACACGCAATACAAAACAAATGAACATTCAAGTCCTTTTCTTTTGAGCATAGGAGATAAGAATCACTTTGAGTCTTTTTCTTTTTCCCTTCCTTTTTATAATAATAATAATGGCAATTCTTAAAAACAATTTATTGGATGTAAAATACAAAATTTAGGCGATGCTAAAGTAATGCCATGCTTGCTCTCAAAGCCATTATTTCTTTTCTTGTTAATTATAAGTAAAATGATAATGAAATATTTATTTGGAAAAAAAAAAATTTTTAAATAATATTTATTATTTTAAACAACTATAAACAAACAAATGATAAAAAATATTAATTTAAAAAATAAGTTTACTATTAATTTGTTTTGAAATTTAATTAAATCTAAATATAATATAAATACAAATCAATTGATAATTTATACAGAAAAAATTTCAAAACTTAATTTAATCAACAACAGATTAGAATTCTATCTACCATGTGCTGCGCAATATTAATTGGATGAATCATTTAAATAAAATGACTTTCTAAAACAATAGTAAAAATGTTGTTGATTTATATTACCTACTCTCCACAATATTTATATTTATCGCATTTAAGAAAATAATTTGTTCTAAAATACTTCACATTTGCGGTTTCAAGATTTCAAGAGTAATAAACTTTTTTATATGTTCACCTTTGTATATGGCCAATAATTATTCATTGTTTAGATATATTAAATTAAAATAATATAATCAATTTACTCAATAATTTATTATAACTTAGACAAATTTAATAATTTTTTTAAGAGATATGAAAAATTTATTGTGATAAGTATTATGAATAGAGTTAGAGTTAAATTATATTCAATTATTCAGGGAAAGTCTTAATTATTGTGTAACATTTCTGACTCAAAAGCATAAATGATTGAAAAAAGTGAAGTTCCATTAATATTCCACTCTTGTAGAATTTGACTCCAAGAGTCTCTTTACAAATTTATTGAAAGCCTGAATAGGGTAACGTGACCATTGAACCCAAATTACCATTGGTGTTGGGAGAAAAAAATAAAAAATAAAAAAAGAAAGAAAAAGTTGAAGTAACACAAATTACAAAACAAGTATTCTTTTTAAAACAGTGGTAATTTGTTTTTTTCTGTTAAACAAAAAGACAAAAATAATTGATTCGAATTTGTTATGTGATTATGCTTGATATTCATTCCTAACAAATAAAGTAACATTTCTTAATCTTATCCTACTGTGAAATAATATTAATTCTTTTAATAGTGTTTATTATTTTTTTAACAATTAGCTAAACGAAAAGATGGTGGTGGAGTGGTAGTTAAGGTGATGGTGGTGGTGGAATGATAATAAACAGAAGAGTTTGAGGTTGAGTTTGATTAGCATTCGGTAGAAATTATAATGGAATGATAATTACAATATGGGTAATAAAAAAATTCATCAAAACATTATAATCAATTAGTAATGTAATATTTATTTTATTATATAGTTGATTACATTTAGACATGGCCAAAATCCGGTTTTTAGGACCGAAACCGCTGGTTTGAAACCTGTCCGAACTAGAACCGGGCGGAACTGGAATCGGAACCGGTGGCCTACGGTTTGATTCCGGTTCCACCATTTTTGAAACCATGAACTAGCGGTTCCAAGAACCAGCCGGAACCAGTTGGAACCGCCGGTTTTTCCAATTGGTTTGAAATTCCGGTTCAGATAAACGTCAACAAAGAAAAGGAGAAAGCAAACGTCAAGTTGTGGTGGCGCGTCGGCTATCGCGTAGGTCTCATTGCTAAACCCGTTGACTGATCCTGGTCTCATCTTATTTCCTTTCTATTTCTATAGTTTTTTTTATTATATAACAATAATGATCCTCATTGTAATTTTAATTTATTTGTAAGAAAGAATTAAATAAAATATCTAGGCATGGCCACCGGTTTGGTTTTAACCGGAACTGAATCGTACTGTAAACGAATTGAAACCGGACCGAAATCGGCTGTTCAAAATTTTGAACTGGAACCGGCAGTTCAAGGACCGGTTAAGGTTCATTTGAATGTTAAAAAATAAATCTGAACCGGCGGTTAACTGGCGATTTCGGTCCGGTTCGAACCGGATTCACAAACAAAATTATTTGTTGCTTAAAATTTTTAACAAAAAAATTTATATAGTTGATTTGATTTATGGTGAAAAAGTTATATAGCTGATTTGATTTATGGTGAAAAGAAAAACACTATGATACATAATTTTTAAAAAGTAGTGAAAAAAAAACATCATCATTAAATCATTTGACTTAATTGGTAGAAAAAAAAGGTTCAAACTAGCCGTTTGAACTATGTTCATTTGTAAAAAGAAAAAAATTATGTGTAAAAAAAAAAACGGGTAGTTTGGGCGGTGGCATTTAATTTTTTTATTTTTGGTAAATAATTTTATTCATTTTTAATCAATTTACTTTATTACGTGTAATTTACTTGAATTATCCAAAAATATAATGATTATTTTTCTGTTATTAAGTGACAATTTAGAAAACTAATAAATGAGAAACATTATAATATTGATGATTGATGTTGATGATTTTTTATTTCACATCAATTATATCCTAAAACTTTTCTTTTATTCTCAATCAAAATTCTCTCAAATTTCCAAGTTCATCTATTGTTTTTATTGTTTTATTCCTTAATTATTAGAATACTATATTTATTTTTTATTTTCTTTACATCCAATTTCCAATGCTTTTCTCTAATGCTCAAAATATTTCCATTCATTAAATTTATCTTCATTTGATTGCTTTTAAATAATTTTCTTAGTATTTGAAAATAAATAATTTCCAACTCATTCCATTAATTTGATTATTCCATTTTATAGTTTTTTATATTAGAAATAGCAAAAATTGTAAAATTTATTAATAATAGTTCTTAAGTAGTTAATTAGAAGTCTTTTCTTTTAAAATTATAATAATTCATTAGTTAATAAAATTTAAACATTTTAAAAATTATTTATTAGAGGAATTCGAAATCCAAAATTTTAATTATTTTTTTTAAAAATTTGCCGTAATCCGGAACCGGAATCGGGAACCGTAATTTGAACCGATCTATTCGCCGAATGTTACTGAACCGGCCGGAACCGGGTCAAGGCGGTTCCGGTTTCAAAATTTTAACATCTTGAGACCAGCGGTTGCAGTGAACCGGACCGGCCATCGCCTAAAAATATCACCTATAGTATT